ATACTAAGACTCATGATTCTTAATTGCTCTGAATTATTATACAGATCTTGGGATCCATTTTCAACTGGTAGACATGGAAGCAACTTTTCTGTGCACTTCACAGGTTATTTGATCACAAGATGAACCTTTCTGGAGTCACCTGAAGACAGAGAGATATCACGGTGCCTACTATGCAGCCTGACTTAATTTGGTTGGACATGAATTTCACAAGTAACACAACCTCGCTAGTTGTGTTACAGATTGAATGCGAGGTTAACCTAACTTTGCAACATTAACTTGTAGGAGTTTAACTAACTTCTACAGATATTAGACAAGAGTGACGCTCAACTTCTTTTTCTAACAATGGTATGGTTAGGTTTCAGTATCTGGATTTTTATTCTGGCTAGTCATTAAGGTTCACAACAGGACAAGTACGTCCCATACGGATCTCCCAGAAAACAGAACACCAATTCTAACTAATGTCGACGTCAACAACTGCCAAGTACCACACAGATCTCTAGTTTTTTTTTATCTGGATACCATACCTTTTAATTGCGTAAAAAGTGACGAAAAGCAAAGAGAAAAGAAGAGAAGGGACAAAATTCTATTCTCATTGTTACTCGTAATGTGCAAGATATCATTGACGAGGAAATACCAATGTCATTATCACTCTTCCACTTGTTTTTTGAGCCTTTCTCTACACGTAGAGAAGTGTGGGAAAGGATAAGAAAGCCGACGAAGAAACTGAGATGGGAACCACTAGTTGGATCTATATTCTTCTTCTTTGCACTAAAAAAATGTTTTCAATAAAGGCCGCCATAATGAAAGAATGAATCACTGTTCCTGCTTGGAATATGGTGATGATAATGAAAGGAACATGGTGATGATAGCTAGGTTCCCCCTTTTTCTTGTTCTCTTTTTCTTCTGATTTCTTCCAAAGCAGCTCAGTTAACACACTAGAGGGCAGTTGCTTGACTCAAATCCTTTCCTTTCCTCTCCTCAATACCTTGAAAGCTTAACCAACATCTCGCAGACTGAAAACCTTTTTTAGTAGGCATGCATTCCTCAGGTTGAACCCTGCCTAGGCATGATCAAGTTGCTGTCCTCTGCCATTCAAATGGGGTATATTCCCCACGTAGATCATTCTCCGTTACCAATCCCGTGTTAATTGGCTTGCACCAGCAACCAAAAACGTATTTTCCTTCATCGGCTACCTTTCTCGATTCAAAGAACTGATAATTGATGCACAATGAACAGAAAACACCGAGTTAGTCTTCACTTTGTTCATAGAAAATTGATCAATGAAGTGCGCCTATTTGCTCGCAAACGCATCTTAAATTTCATACCGAAAAATCCGCAGAAATTCATACACAGAAGCATAGGAATTTGTATCATATCGGTCTTTCTTTTGCCCCCCCATTACCTCCCCAATCACTTCCAAGTTGTTTTACAGTTTCTTCAAGTTCCCTCTACAGATATTACCCACATACCCCTTGGCATGGGGTAAGAAGAAAGGACTGCAAGTTTAAACAGCCCACTTCAAAACCAACAAAATCCGTTAAAATTTCTCATTTTATTGAATCAACTAAGAACATAGTGTCTCACCCGTTCCTGGGTTTAAAAAAACAGAGAAAACAGCTTCCCTGCCTGCTACAATGGTAATTAAAGCCCCTAACTGACCCCCAAAAAAAAATCCAACAAGATTTATTTAAGCCATGCTTCATAAACACGGCATGTCTTAGCTCAGAGTAACCAATCTAAAGAAAACAGCGGTCAGTGTTAGGAATTTAACGCCTAAACCCCTAATGCAACGGAAACGCGGTATAGAAAAAGTACACCAAGATTT